CCCCCGAGCCGAGCCCCGGAAGGGCCCAGCCGCGCTTCCGTCTCCGCTGGGGATGCACGGAGAGCGGAGCCGCGATCCGGGGACGCGACGCGAGCACAGTTCCGGCGAGGAGGCCGCGCCAGTGACAGCGATGGCGGCGGAGTCGGCGCTTCCAGTCGTGGAGAAGCTGCAGGCGCTCCTGGCCGCGAACCAGGACCCCAAGAAAGTGAGTCAGGGGTCGGAGTGTGCCGGGGCGGGCGTTGGCCGGCGCGGGTCCCGTTAACGGTCGCGGGCCCCCTGGAGACCCTGCGGGTCCGTCCAGCTCGCCTGGGGCCGGGGGCTGGGACACTGGCAGGCCCGCCGTGCCGGGGACCCGGCTCGGGAAGTTGGCGGCCCGCTGACCGAGACCCGCGCGGGGCCACCTGGTGATGTCGAGCTCGACGACCCGGGCCCCTCTGGCTCCCTGTCGGCTCCCGGCCAGGGGCGCGCTCCGACCGGCGCCGTGCGCCCAGGGCTGCTCGCGGCTGTGCCCGAGGCTCCCGGACCAGGCCGGTCACCGAGCGCCAGGGCTCCCTGGAGCCGCTGCCCGGGGCGCCCGAGCCGGCTGCGCCCTGCAGGGGTGCCCGCCGGGGCCCGGGGCGGGCGCTCGCCCCGATGGCTGCCGGCTCTGGCCCCTGCGCTGCGCGCTGGGCTCCTTCCTCTTTGGTCAAAGGCTGCCGGCTTCTTCGTGTCTCAGGTGGGGCGCCCTCGGGGACGTGTGGCCCTGCCTCTCTAGGAAACGTTTCCAGTTGCTCTCCAGCGTGGTATTAGACCATTGACTTTTTTGCTTTTAGTAAAGCCCTTTCAAAGCAGTACTTCACTCTAGGGAAGTCAGGTTGAAATTTGGAAGAAGGAGAGAGAAAGGGTTCGAAGTTGCAGCTCGATTTCCTTGTGGCCTTGACAGAGTCCAGAGTGACGGGCAAACCTTTTAATCTTTACCTCGTAGCGTTCCCGTCTCTGCTGTTAGCTGGCTTCTCCGTTGTCTCTGGTAGATTGTCCGGTGGAGGTTCGAAGGTTTCCATTGAGGGCTGTCTGTCTGGAGTGTAGGGGTACCCAGAGGTGGTGCCCACGGGTCCTCCTGGTTGTGAGGAAGTCCTGAGGAGAGGCAGCTGAGATAAAGTGGTATCGAGATTTGGCTTCTCATCCATTTGCCAGCGTTGACGTTGGGGGAAGTTCTCTTTGCCGCTCCTGATTCATCTCTGGGCTTCTAGGTCTAAACTGAAAAGCACAACAGTGACAGGCTGAGCGTAGCTGCTTGGTGGATAGTAATTACCACTCTTTAAAGAGCCCCTTTCTCGGGGAGCTCTGGTGGCCTAGTGGCAAGGAGCTGCAACGACAATCCCCGAGGCACATGGTTCGAATCCATCAGATGCTCTGCCAGGAAAAGGAGGGACAATCTCCTCCTACACCAGTCAGATCTGATTTGATGGTACACTCACACAAAAATTAAAAAAAGAAAAAAGAGCCCCTTTCTCGGCACTTTTCCTCATTTCCAAAGGCTCATCATCATCAACAGCTCATCATGGGTCAGTTGTTAACCCTCCTCTTACATCCTCGGGAAGCCATTTTAACTTTAAATCTGTGGAAATGTAAATACTTTGAATTGGGGTGTTACAGTTTTCTGCTGCAGCTTTTGTACCTAGTGACCTAAGTTTCCTTCTACAGTTGGTTGTGTGGATACCTAATATATGGTCCTTATTTCTCTGTTACTGGTTGTTTTAAGGCGATATTATGTAACCACCACCCTAATTTGGTCTTTAATTCCATCTGATTGGGGATAAAATGTTCTGTGGCATCTGTGTTTCCTCTAGTACCTGTGTCTTGAAGCTTCTCTATCTAATAGTTGGCAAATACAATGAGCAGGATGTCTTGTTGTCCTCCTCCAGTTCAAGCTGGTGATTTGGTGAGACCTCCTAAAGTAGGAAGGTGAAAGAAGGTTGGGATATAATTTTTACAGAGGACAAAGTAGTTGGCATTCAAATATGGGCTGATGCAGGAGGAAAACTGCAAGCTGGCACTTGGGCTGCCTTTCCCCTCAACCCTCCATCAGTGCTACAAGCTCCTGCAGGTGGTTCTTGAAACTGCAAGATGATTATAGTGCAGTATTGGATTTGCAACCAAATTTTTATTTCTGACTACTATGGCTTCGTGGCAAGAAGCTGTATTGCAATCCTGAAGGCACCGTGATTAGAGGCCACCAGCTGCTCCAGGAGAGAAGGATGGGCAGTCTCCTCCCATGTGATTAACTGCCTCTGAAAAGATTAACTGTCTCTGAAAACCTGCTGGAGGGTCAACTATGGCTCAGTTCCAACTCTACTGAACACAACAACTATTAACCAGAATTGATTCTACAGTGGCTTTCATGGATTTTCTGGTAGTAAACGCTAGTGTTTAACATGTTGCCGCAAATGATGGCAAATGTATTTTTAAGCACGGTTGTCAATTTTAAAAATGTGTGGCAAAGTATTAATTATACCTCACTTTTCCACCTTTAAGTCTGTCTTATCTAATGCTGCTATAACAGTTAAAAGAGTCTTAGTTTAGGAGGCTGAAGTTTGAATTTAGACTGCTAGTTCAAGAGCAAGACTTGCTTTCTCTGTCACCCAGGAGGAAGACCTTGGCTCGCAGCATCCCTGCGCCCCAGGCCCTTGGAGTTCTCCACATGTATTAGCGTCAGTCTTCCTCTGGGTCCAGAGAATGGGCTTAGCGTCCACCTGTTCTTTCTTGGTGGTGGTGGCCGGCTTTTCCTGATCTCTGTGCACAGTTTTATCTTCCCCTCCCAAGAAATGAAACCAGAGGCCCAAAAGTAAAGCTTAGAAAGCAGTAAAGGGTGTGAGTGGGCATGAGAAACCCAAGGAGAAAGTGGCACGCGCGCTGTTGGCATTGAGGGAACTGCAGCCAGTGTCACAAAATACCTTTCAGTTATTTAATAGGAATGTCATTTGCTCTGTAAACTTTCACCTAAAACACAATTTCTTTTAAAAAGAAAGATCAACTAAAGATACACCCTAATCCTGTATCATGCCTCATTAACATACCTGCCTCTAATCTTCCCTCAGTAGTATAAAGGTTAGGATTTATAACATCTAGGATGATCACATTAGATCATACTGAGACTCTTAGCCTGAGTTGACACGTTTTGAGGAGACAATTTCAAACCATACCAAAGTTCATCTGTGATTTTTTTTTTAATGAGGAGAGACAAATTAGATTCACCAAAGACATTTGAAGTTTTCTTCTATTCCTAATATTGTATTAGAGATTCTTTTCATAGCTCGCACTATAAGGAATCAGTGTTTTTTAAGTTGACCTGTCTTGTGGTAACATTTGAATGCTAAAACGATAAAGCACGCAGTTGGGTAGCAGATGGAGAGCTAGGGATCAGCATAACGAACAGCCCTTGCTTTTCAGGTTGAAGGTGCCCACAGGGGACACCTGTGATCCCTCAGCTTATGCTATTAGTCAGTGTTTGCATTTCTCAACTCCTATCTTTTTTTCAAAGCTCTTTAGTTGGTTCTTGGGTTTGATAATAGCAAATTTACCTGGAAATGCTTAAAGTACTTAGACCTTGTCATTGCTTTGTTTTTTCTTGCAATTCATGGAAAATGGAAGAACATTTGTTCTGTAAACCTTCACGCAGAGCACAATGTTAAAAAAGATAGGGAAAGGAAAAAAAAAAGATTGACTAAAGATACAACATGAGGAACTAAGCAGAACTTTTCTTTGGCAAAATCAGTTTGAAAATCTTGAGGGTTGGGTTGGTGTTTTTTTCTTTTGTGGGTTTTTTTTTGTGTGCTTTTTATATCATTCCCCACTAACCTGAAGTGAAACAGAAAGGCAGCGTGCAGCCCCACAGTCAATGCTGGCCTTTGAGATAAACTCAGTGACTTCTGGCCTCATATTTTGGTAGGCTCTGGGATTCTTTGTTCACATGGTGATGTTTACTTTGTGGACTCTAACCTGCTTAACAGTGTACTTGCTGAGGAGAAGCTGTTATGCTTTGTTTCGAGAATGCTAAGGAACGCATAGGCTAGTGATCCATTTTCTTTTTCTATTTTCCAGGGATACTTTTAAGTCGGGTATTTCTTCTGGACCTATAACACATGCCATGATAGATACACTTTGGTTAATTGTTTATTAGGCAGAATAAACATATAGGCTCGGTTTGATCATCTGTAAAATGGAAACATCTACTTCTTTTTTTTTTGTTTTGTTTTTTTTTTCCCATTGTTTTTATTTTTTTTCTCTATAATTATATTTTATTAATTTTCATAAACATTTACAGAGATTTTGGGCTTCTACTCATTCATTGTTGCACTATTCTCTCTACCCTCTTCCCAGTTTGTTCTTGTCCAAATGCCACAGTGCTTGTCAAAGCCAGTTCTGATTAATCTTCTTTGTCAGTGTATCCTTTGCCATTCCCTATCACTCCTCCCTGAGAGAGACTTCACCCTGAGTCATAAGGAAAAGGGCACGGCGTATTCTCTTAGCTACTTCTTAGGCTTGTGATAAAGATGAAACAAGGCAGTGCATAGATGCCCCTGTCAAAGTAGATGGCACACAGTTGGTGAATATAAATGGTCCTAAATTTCTCGTTCCTGGGAATGGAATTTGGAGAAAACAACCTGGTTGGTTGGTTGGTTTCTTTTTTTCTTTCTTGACTTTAAATTTTCCTTTAAGAAAAGGAATTTTCATTTATTTTTGTACCCATAAGTTGAGTAACATGAAATAAGACCAAGAGTTAGCTGGTGATAGTGATCACGTTTAAAGTAGATAATTTTAAATCAAACCCAGCACTTGTCTTGCTTGCTCCCAGTCAAACAGGATTAGCATTTGTCATCAACCATGTTTAATTATTAGAGTAGAATGGCCAGAAAAGCACACTCTTCATAATTGCAGTGTGGCTTACTAATTATAGCCTGGACTCCATATGGAAAGAGAATAGATCTTGTTATCTAATATTTAAATTTAAAGTAGTCAGAGTTCTCTATTTTGACCTGATTGGACTTTGTAGTATTCTTATAAATGTACATTAAACATTTCCTAGAGAAACCCATAGTCATGACATTGGGTAGACACCGTTGTTCGATGTCAAGTCCACTGCTGTGAACAGTAGATCGCAGTCATGACCTGTCCTGCACCATCGTCACAGTCTCCACCTGAACGAGCTCCTTGTTTTATCGTTTCATCCCGTGGACACTCCACCTTACCTGATGCTTTTCCCCCCAAGGACTGGCCCCTCTTGACAGCATTTCCAGAATATGTGAGATGAAGTTTCACCATCATTGCCTTTAAGCAGCATCCTTGTTGCCCTTCCTTCAAGACAGATTTCTTTGTTCTTTTGGCAATGCATGGGCTATCTAATAATCTTCACGGCTACAGTTCAAGAGTATGGATTGTTTAGGCCTCTTTCAGGACTCCCCTTCTCATGTGTTGGAGTTTCATAATTCACTAGAAGGTTTCACAGAAACTTGGGCTGTCAAGAGAAATGGCTCACTCAGTTGTAGATGATGCAGATTGAGGTATATGGTCACAGAGCCTGGTGAACGAGGGGCTGGGAGCTGATTGTTAGCTGGATCAGGTTAGATGAAGTGCCCAAACCACCCCACCCCACTCTCTCCTGCCTAGAACAAGTGTTGAGCTTCTAAGTTAAGTGTTGAGGATCAAAGAGTTATAAACCGCATCCGTAGGAGAACTAAGGGTGACGACTTGGGTAATAATATTTATAGTAGAGTGGGGCTTGTATCTCACCCAAATCCTGTTTCCTTCCACAAATAAGTAACTCATCCTTGAATGAGGTCTTAAACCTAGAGAGGCTGGAATCACATAATGGAAAGCTCTGGATGGAACAGCCATATTCATCTTAATTCATTGTTTGCAACTGCCCAACTGTCACATGTATAAGAACTATTGAAAGTACCATGACTTGGATCAGGCACACCTGTAGAATTGGCTGGGAAATAGTCATTTGAATATTGAAGATCCAGAGTAGAACATTTAAAGAGCTGCTAGTTGAATAAAATGATTAATAATGAACATTTAAAGCATTCCAGTCATCGTGGTCCAGGACTGGGCATGCATTGTCTCAGTGACTCCACACAGTTCATGACGTCCAGACAGGATCCAGGCCCGTTTGACAGGGTTGCCAGCTGAGGCTCTGAAAAGTTACTGCCTTACACAAGATCCCCCAGCAAGGAGGTGGCAGAGCCAAAATGTGAAACCTCTGCTTCCAGGAGGCTGTCTCAACAGCTCTGCTCTACCGGTTATGACCTAGTTTGTAGAAACCAGACAAAGGAAATAGGGCCAGCCTCAGATCACTCTTTAAGTTCTGCCTTTATTTATCAATTATCAGTTATGTTTATCAACAAGTCTCTGGCCCTGGCAACTGGAAAAACCCCATACAATTGGACATGGTGAGTCTTCTTGGAAACATGGTATCCTTTCCCTGTAGAGACATTTTGACTTTTCTCTGCACCAGAGCCAGTTCGTTTTCTTAAAATTGGTATCTTTCACATACATTCTCATAGAAATGAGGCAAAGCTATTCAATAATGTTTATTAGAGTTAATTAACTTTTAATTCTAAATCTTCTTATTGGTGTAATGTAGTTGATGAAAACATAGGATCTAAAGTCACAGAGTGAGTTCTGGCTCGCTTGCATTTCAGGGCAAAGAATTTGTAACTTTTTTTTTTTTTTTAATTTCCTGCTGTGTGCTGCGAATTGGATCTGACTGGCACAGGAGGAGATTGCCCCTCCTCCTTCTTCAGTGGAGCATCTGGTGAATTCAAACCGTGCACCTTGGGGATTGTAGCACAAGAATTTGTAACATTTTTGAGCCTGTTTTCACAACTGTAAAACAGGGACCATATTATAAAACACTTAAAACCCTGATTAGACAATGATTCACATCAGCTTCAATGAATATGATTATAGAAATTAATGTTTAATATTTTCTTTTCTTTGCAGTTATTGAAATATTTGAAGAAACTCTCCACTTTGCCTATTACAGTTGACATTCTTGCGGTAAGAGCTGTATAATTTTTTTTTTTAATAAAGCATTTTAAGTATACTTTCTATGTGTGGGGGAATGTGCACTGGATATGTGGATGGTAGTTATTTCAAAAGAACTTGATTGGAAGACACTGTATTCTTTATTTTTTTCATTTTGAACCCTAACCTTTCCCCCCTAAGACATTGGTGGCTTTGACATGTTTGAGGACCATGTTCCTTGAGTAGAGGTGACTGCTCTGTAGGGGCTTGTCTGGTCCTAGGAGATGAGAGGGATTTCCATGTAGGTAGCCCCACGTCACACACAAGAGGCTGGCCAACTTGAGAGGGTCTGGCTGCCACGAAAAGGTAGAAGGGCCTGTTATAAAGTTCTGCCCGAGTGAAAGCAGCAAGCCCGTCCCGTGAGGAAGGGGAGACTTCAGATTTGTCTCCCCCTGCCCATTGGAGAGAGGGCACCGAGCCTGCCCCATGAGGAAGAGGAGATTCTTGGGCCTGACCCCACAGTTGATGGGAGAGAGGGCGTGCCCACTCTGTGAGGAAGTGGGAACTCTCAGACCTATCCATGACATACACTCCATGGGAGAGAGGGCACTGAGCCTGCTGTCCCATGAGGAAGGGAAAAAGGGGAGGCTTTTGGGCCTCTCACTCAAGAGCTGTATAACTTTTAATGTTATAAAACAATTTCTTGTCCCCTTCCCACTGGGAATGATAGATTGAGAGCATGGGTTTTTGAGAGTGAAAGACATCAGACACAGAAGGCTACATGTTCTATTTTTATTACATGTCCAGAGGAGGCAAATCCATAGGCATAAAGTAGATTAATGTAGGGGTGGGAGGAAGGGAGTTTATTTTTTTTATAATAGAAATATTCTAGAATTAGATAGTAATGATGGTTGTACAATATTGTGAGTGTACTAGAAACCACTAAATTGAATATTTGAAGATAAAATGATGAGGTTGTTATGTGAACATTATCTTAATTTAGAGTATATAAATAAAAGCATGATGAACTTTGGCACCAACAAATCCTGGGTTCAAATGACTTTTGGCTGAACCAAATGGAACGGAATACTGCCTCAAAGTTTCTGTAAGGACTCATTCAGATACTATATGCAAAGCTCTTGTTAACTCAGTGCCTGGCAGCTGCCATCCTCTCTTGTTATTATTGTTAAAGTGTAAATGTTTTTCCATCTCTGACTGTTACACACTTTGCTACTGTGTGTCACTGGAGATTTGTGGCAAAGATACAAAGTATTTTGTACTTCCAAAGTCTTGGCTTTAACCTGACCCAGCTACAAGTTAACAGACTTACAAAGCATATTAATTCTTTATTCTATCATCTGGACATGTTTTGTTCAGTAACCTTAACTTCATTATCCACAGCATAATGACAGTTTTTCTACTTCCCAGTAATTCAAATTTTCATTAATCTTTTTATTCCTGTCTTTCCCTTTTTTTTTTCTTTTAATAATACCATGCTGATCATCCTCTTACTAGGCATGACCTTTCCCTTCACGCTATGTGCCTGATAACTAGTTCCTAATTCTGACTCCCTTCCCATTCCTGGTAGCCATCCAAGAACAACTCTATACACATGTTAACCTTTCTTTCTTAGGGGGCATTAAATCTTAACACAAGGAGATTCTCATTTTTCTTCTTCTTTCAGAACAGCTGGTAGATTTGAACTGCCAGCTTTTCAGTTAGCAGAGCAACATGCACTACCAGAGCTCCTTAAGTATGATTTAGGAAGGAAAGGGTTTAAAGAAGCCCTAGGTGGCACGCACAGTAGTTAAGTGCTCCACTGTTAACTGAAAGGTTATTGGTTCAAACCACCAGCTGCTCCCTGGGAGAAAGCTGAAGCTGGCTGCTCTGTAAAGACTGTAGCTGTGGACATCCTGTGGGGACATTCTAGTCTGTCCCCCACGGTCACTGTGACTTGGAAATGACACAGTAGCACACAACAGTAATAGTGTTTGCCGAACAGTTTGTCAAAGCTGGAGAACTTATTTCTTTAGAAAAATGTATGCCTCATTTTACAATTCCTTAACAACTCTTTTTTTCAACTTTGTAGGAGACTGGAGTTGGGAAGACGGTAAATAGCTTTCGAAAACATGAACATGTAGGAAACTTTGCCAGAGGTTTAGTGGCCCAGTGGAAGAAGCTGGTTCCTGTTGAACGGTAAGAACACTCTGCAGTTTACTCTGCTTCATTGGTAAATCGGGTATTTGAATGTGTGTTGGTTCAGAGACGCTCTTTTCTATTTCTTTTCTATCTTCCTATTTAAAATAGGTGTCTTGCCTCAGTTATAAAAAATAATTTATGCAATTAGAAAATCAGAAATCAAGAATAAAAACTTCCTGTAATTTTGGTAGAATTGCAAAACCAAAAATAAGAATTATTACCATCTTAGTAAGTTTTTCCCCAAAACCTTTTTTTTTTTTAAAAATTATGATTTGAGTGAAAGTTAAAAGAGCATATTTCATTTTCTCTCAATCACTTACACATATTTCGGTTTGTAATATTACTTGCTATACCAACAGTGTCTGATGATCCACTTGGTGTGTGGTTACTGCTTTTCCCCTTCACTCCTCTTAATGAGTGTCTGTTACCTATTTACTCATTTTCATTCCCGTCTCTCTTTCCTATCCCTGGTAATCATCCAAGAATGATTCTCTGTGAAAGTTTAGAGAGCACACTCATTTTCCATTCAGCGCTTTGTATACATTTTGCTTTGGTGGCATTCCCAGCGATGAACTAACCCTCTTCCCATTTCCCTCCTGGGTCTCGCATTTCCCTTTGGCCCTCTCTCCTGCTTTCTGAACTTTGTTTTTGGGCAGGTCCCGCCCTTTTGTGTGTTATGGTTGGTTGGTCTGAAGAGTGGCTGCCTTCTGGCTGGCATTTTTCTCATTATAGGCCTGGCTGGCATTTTGTCTGAAAGTTGATCCTTTGGAGGCGGGTCCCTTCCACGTCTGCAGAGTGTATAAAGCTCAGCAGCAGAGGTTCCACCTCGGCTTGTGTTGGACTTTCCCCTACCTTTTGTTTTCTCTTCATTCTCTTCAGGACCATAGGGCAGGGGCTCTGATGAGCCTGGCGGGTAGTGGTAGTTCTTCTGGTTTCAGGGGGGTGAGGGTTGTCACTCATGTAATGCACTGGTCCTTGGGTTTTCTCTGTTCATTAAAAGTCACTTTTCTATATGAGTGCGCCAGAGGGTGGCCTAGTGGATAAGGAGTTGCACTGCCAGTCCAGCTGCAGGTAGTTCTGATCCACCAGCTGCTCTACAAGAGGAAGGTGGGCAGTCTCCTTGTGTGATTTGTTGTCCGTCAGCTGGAAGTTGATTGCAGCAGATCATCAGCAAACAGTTTGAGTTTTTGAGCTTTTGTTTTATATGTGACAAATGTAATACTTCTGTTTGTATAAAATAAGTTAAACATGTCCTTATTAAATATCTTCAGTAGATACTTGAACTTTTTTGTATTTTATGGTTAATAATTTCCCATTTATTGAATATTTGAGTTTAACAATTAAAAAAAGCTACGTGTCTATATTTCCAGTGCTCTTTGGAGGCAAAAGTGATGAGGCTTCACCTCACTTACTCTGGGCATATTGTTGGGAGGGTCTGTTCCTTGGAGAAGGACATGATGCTTGCTGGGAAGGGTGGAGGGTCAGTGAGGGAGAGGAAGCCCTTCAACCAGGTGGATTGATAGGGTGACTGCTGCAGTGGGCTCTTGTGTGTCAGGAGTGTGAGGATGGCGCTGGGTAGAACAGGGTTCAGAGCTTTTGTTCACAGGGTCGCTGTGAGTCAGACTCGAGTTGATGGCACCTAACAACCACCACCACCATTTTTACAGTAGAACTCTCTGTGAGATTGATTCCATTCTTCAAGTCATGCATCCACACTCTCTTCTTTGGAACTGTCCCTGCCCTATTAACATAAACTCACACTCTCAAGCTTCCCAGCTAATCTTTGAGTTGCTGTTGTCAGTTTGATCTCCTGCAGTTAGTTCTTTAAGAGAGCCTGGTGCTCAAAGCAGACATTCCTTCTAATTACTACTGGAGTATTGTGTCTAACTGTGCATTCATGTCATCTCTTGTGAGTTTAGATCTTTGGATTTTTGTCCCGTGAGCCAGGATTCTACAGGTGATTTACCCACCTTCTCTGTGGTTTGTGGTTATTTATATTTTGGTGTTTTCTTTTAGGAACCCTGAACCTGAAGAACAGGACTTTGAGAAGTGTAACTCCCGAAAGCGCCCCAGGGATGTTCTCCAGAAGGAGGAGGAGATGGAGATGGAGTACCAAGAAAACTGGAAGGCCTCTGGGAGCCGAGCCTCCAGCACTGACCACAGACACAAGAAGCCCAGGAAGCTGTCGGAGCTGGAGAGGCCCCCCAGAGTCTCTCACGGTCACGAGAGGCAA